ATGAGAATTGCATACGAACTATTAATGCTGGATTGGTCTAGATATGAACATAGTTGAGAATATCCTTATTATGATAAAAATTGATCTATGCTAGGGGAATATAGGAATTATGTACTCAAGCGAATGATTATTATTGTGTTTCTGTATTTGGGAATTGACGCTGTGGAATTTGTCGGTAGGAAGAAATTGTAATTATAAACCCCACCTACTGAGAATTTGATGTTTTGAATGTCCTATAAGGGACTCCTTGTTGAGTAACTGTGATAATTATCGGATTGACCTGTGAATTGTTCAAACTGAGGAATGAATTGAATATCTATAACAGAATTGAACAGTGATACAAGACTGAGATGACCAATCTTGTTACATGGTAAAACAAGTTTGAGGGACCAAACTTATTTAAGGGGGGGAGAGTGTAATAACCTGACCCTCGTATATGTTTTCTGGTATGCTTTCAGTCCCTTATTCTGTGCATTTATATGCTTACCGTGCAATTCCATGTGAAATTATGTTAAATTGAGTGAATCTTATGATTGTAGAATCATATCTGTCAAGTAAGAAAAATATCTGTTACAATTGTAATGTTCATATCAGAAATTGAAAGCCTTAGAGGCTTGATAATCCGAAATTAACTTTATAAATGTGAAGAGCATGATTTTTAACTCATATTAAGGATTTTTGTAAAAATCTGATTCGGAATGATTAAACTGATTGATTTTTATTTAATCAACTTTTATATATATATGTTTACTTTGTATACACTTGACCGGGGGAAGCCTTTGAAAATATCTCTGAGAGAGTGTAGAGAAGTTGAGAGACAGAGCTAGGAGAGAAGAAGTTCATCAAGGAAGGAGAATATGGGAAATTTGAGAGGGTTTGTAGAAATTTGAGTTCAAGGTAAGTTTAATCCATCTACAATAATCCCTTATTTGGACTTGAATAAGGTTCTGTTTGTATTTATATGGTTAGGGTTTGTAAATGACTTAATTGTAAGGCTGTTGTATCATTTTGACCATTTTGAGTTAGTTGAGCTTTATGGAGATTAATTACATCCTATTCCTTCATTTTCCATGCTTGAATTTGTGTATGTATTTAGATGAATCATGTTTGAGAAACTAAATATGGTTAGAAACTCAAAGTGATCAAATTGTGTGTATCAGTTTAAAGCCTTTAAGGATCAAATTGAGTTTGTGAATTATGTTTATGGTGATAATATATCCTAAAAATTACATTGTTGTACCTATTTTTCTACTCTTCCATGTGTTGGCTTTGTTGGATTTGTATCTTGGTTCGGATAGCAAAACAGGGATAACCGCCGCACGTGCGGGGCTCACAGCCGCACGTGCGGGAAGCACCACCGCACGTGTGAGGCTCACAGCCGCACTTGTGGAAAACAGAGGAAATTGGGGCTGAAGGCACTGCAATATATGCACGTGTGGGGCACACGTGTGGCCACCTTCCCGCTCGTGCAGCGAAGGGCCTCTGCACGTGCGGCTTATGGGGGGAAAAATCTATGTCCTCCATTTCATTTGTTTGACCCTCTGGGATTGCTAAAATATATGTTCAATGTTTTTAAAATGCTTGTTAATTCACTGAGATTTAACGAATCAGATCTTGATTATGAAAGGAAAAGTACTAACTTGTGAGTTGTTTATACATGTAGATCGCATACCAGAAGGAATTATCACTCTGCCACAACACTGTGAGTAATAGTACTATAGTAGTACGTTTTGCTTATTGTTAATAGTTAATATTAACGTTCTGTTATCTGCAAGTTAACTATATTAATTCATGATGAACAATGGAACATATGTGCATTATGGAACAATGATATTTTTGTGTATCTGGAATCATTCTGTTTTGCCAATGATGGGCCCAAGGCCGTTATGATGTGAATTGTTCTGTCCCCATTAATCATACTGTAAAAATACAGGTGCCTTCTGCTAATAGTTATCATTAATATTCTGTTATACGCAAAACAACTATGTCGACTTGTAATGAACCATGGGGAAATTTATGTGCACTATTGTGTAATGGTATTCTTATGAATCTGGGATTATTCTATTTTGCTAATACTGGGTCGGAGGCCATTCTGTATTATCTGTGGGCCAGAGGCTAATCTGTTGATATCTGGGCCAGAGGCCAATCTGTTGATATCTGGGCCTGAGGCTAATCTGTAATATATGTGGGGCCTTAGGCCGTTCTATATGATACTGGGCTTGAAGCCTCTCTTTATGAAAATTGGGCCCAAGGCCATTCTGAAAATGTTTACCAGATAAGGTTAATCATATGAGCTCTACACTTATATACGTTATAATTATTATAATTCAAGCTTTTTCATTGAATTCTTTAGATACTATTGTTCATTGAGCCTTGCTCACTCTGTATTATGTCTGTCTCTGTAGGAACTGACCTGGAGGTCAGTCTTAGCTTAGCTTTGGTTGCTTCCATTTGACATCTTCACCGTGTCCAAGCTAGGTAACCGACTCGGAGGTTAGTCTTAACACAGCTTTGGTTGCTTCCTTTTGACAGCTTCACCGTGTCCAAGCAATTGGTGAAGTCTATGTGTTTTGTGGAGTTCCTTTCACAACCCTTAGCTTGGGTCACCAGTGTTTTGTCTAATGTGATTAAGCATGTATAATCTTCCCTACCAATATTTTTGCTACACCCCCATGTGCGGGGCTGAGTCTGCATATATATTTATATATGTATATGTGAATATCTATTTCTGGTGTATCTGTTTATCATATGTTGGGACAGTTTGATGGTACATTTGCGATCCTGGCATATAGGTGTTAGCTCAATGGATGTTATTTCATGTTGTTAATTGCTTCCGTTTAGGCCCCATATGTTATATATATTGATCCATTTCCGAATTGGTTATGCCCAAACTTTTAGGGGCGAGTTTAGGGCATGATAGTTTTGGAAGAAGAAGAGGTTCAAAAATGGGATAAAAACGCGGTGCTGTGAACTGATATATACGAGGCTCACTCGAGCGAAAGAGTTGTCACTCAAGCGACCAAACACAACAAATACCTCGCTCGAGCGCAAGAAATGTCGCTCGAGCGAACAACGCGAAGCTTCAGGTCTGCCACTCACGCAGACGCACGCTCGAGTGAAGGAACACAAAATACAGGGCTCGCTGGAGCATAAGAAGGCTCGCTCGAGCGAAGAATACCAGCCTTCAGGTCTTCACAGAGACGCTGACGCATGCTTGAGCACAAGAGTTCTCGCTCGAGCGAAGAGACACACCACACAAATCTCGCTCGAGCGCAAGAACCTTCGCTCGAGCAAAGAAGCAAATACCCAAGACTCACTAGAGCGCAAAAAGCCTTGCTCGAGCGAAGAAGCAAAATCCTAGGCAGGAACCATTTGTTCCAACTCACAACCAACCTGTTCCAAACTAGCCCAACACATCCCAAAACTTAAATACAAGGAATTAAATGATGGAAACATGATAAAGACAACAACATACAACCGCTAAACCCGAGTCTGGAATACAATAAATGACAGGGAAAACTAGGATCGCTATAGCCTCCAAGTGTTCCTCATTTTTTATTCTCACTCTCTCAAAAAAAAAAAAAAAAAAAAAAAACAGGATCGCTATAGCCTCCAAGTGTTCCTCATTTTTTATTCTCACTCTCCAAAAAAAAAAAAATACCATGAATCAAAATGAAAGAATTGAACAACTAGAAAGAAATAGGCAAGAAATGCAAACTGTAATTGAGAAGCAAGATGATAGAATACAGAAGCTGCAATCAACAGCTTTCCAACTAGCAAATTTTTACTTCATCTTCCAGGGAGTGATATTCACAGTGGTCTCAAATCCCTCATCCTCTATCAAATGTCAAGACTGGTGGTTCTCCTTCATCCTCTCCTTCGTCGCCTCTGCTCTCAACCTCTTCGTGTTGCTCGTGATTGGAATCAAGTACAAAAGATCACTCGACCAATAAGAAATAAATTGGCAACATTACCAAGAATACGAGCAGATATTGGAACAAGCAAGAGGTCCAGAAGAGGTTATAAACAACAACGTTAACAATAGGATCCAACTGACTGGGGATCCATTTACTAAGAAACAACAATCGGTTTATCTATTCATGTGCATGAGTTTTTTCATTGGTTTTTCTTCATTAACATTATTTGATTGCTGGTGGATTCGTTGTAGGGAATCTCAAGATGCTAAATGGTGATGATAAATGTCTCAAGCTTTGTGACGCTGAAAAGTGCATAAGAATCTGCCCTGAATATTGATGTTGCTCAACATTTGTTGGAGTTATTAATTTGCTGTAACAAGGAGGCCTTTATTCATCTACACATGAATGCATATCCATCAATATTTACATGTATTTTTCACAGATAAATATATAGCAGATATGCGAGTTTGTATTAGCTAGATATTAAAGGACAGTTTGTGCAAGCTTTGTTTATTTCAATAGAAACGGAAAACATTTTCTATGCAAAAACACACACACACACACACACACACACATATATATATATATTGTAAAAAATATTTTCATATATTTAGTTGTATCCTTGAAGTTAATGTGCTAGTCATTGAATTAATATAGAATTGGTGCTGGTGGTGATAATAGGGTAATAGAGGTGGTGGCGTTGCGACAACAATGTTGGTGTAATGACCACAAAATGCGTATAAGAAATCATCTTTATTTCCCTATGAAATGATGTGGTTTAATTTAATTATATCTATTAGAATTGAAGCACTATCAGTTGAGTTACGGACTTAAAATGGGAATTACCGACCTTTATGGGTTCAAAAATCAAAATTGAGTACTTGGATATGTTAATGGGAATTTTTGGAATTATTTGAGAAAATTAATTTGAAATCCAATTTGTCTGATTCGTTAATGGACGTTTGGGTGATTAACTTTATAATGCAAATTAAAGGCCTTAAAGACTTCAGATACTGGAACAGGGGACATATTTACGATCAGCATAATTTTTAGAGTTATCTGGGAATTTTAATTGAAATGTGATTTTGTGCGATTTGTAAGGTCGTGTTTGGCCCTTCCTATTTGTGGGAAGCTTTTATATATGCATATATGCTTTATGAGTTGTTGAACTCATCTATTTTGAACCAAACAAAAAAATAAAAATATCTAGAGAAAGGGAAAGGAGAACCGTGAGAGAGAGAGAGAGGGAGAGAGAGAAGAGGCTAAGCTTCTCCCTAAGGAATTCAACATCCATGGAAGCTTGAAGATGGTGGAAGAAGATAGAAGAGAGAGGAAAGATCAACCAAAAGCTTGGGAAAAATTGAAGAGACTAAGGGATGAACAAAGGTTTGGGTAAGGTATGTGGCTCTAATTACTAACCTTGTATATAATCCATCTACTACTTGAAATCATGGATTGATATAGAAGATGTGAGCTTTGAACCCATGAACCTTGATTTTCAAAGAATTCCTTGATTGAAGAAGTAAAATCATTAAATTTGTTTATTGTGAGATTATGGTGTTTGACGAAGAATAATAATGTGAAATTGGTCATCTATTAAAGGGTTTTGGGCTTTGATTTACATGTAATTAAGGTTTTATTTTTGAAAATGAGAAGTTCCACAATTTCAGCCATTTTCGGACTACTGCTGTCCAGGGCCGCACGTGCGGCACTGTTCACCCGCACGTGCGGAGACAGCTCTGTCCAGCCAACTTTGAATACGTATATCTTTTGCATCCGGACTCCGTTTTGAGTGATTCTTGAGCCTAAAATAAAGCCCCGGAAGTCTAGTTTCGAATGGCTCTAGTCTCACTCCCAAATTCTAAATACAGAAAAAGTTATACCCAAATTAGTGATGACTGTTCACGTTATGTCAATTAGTTATGTACCATTTCTTCACCTAAACCATTTCCTATCGATTTCTCCTGTTTTCTAAGACATGGATTACAACATATTAAAGAATAATGAGCTTGGTACCACCATGACTAATTGATTGAACGATCAAAGAGAATAAGTAAAGGATCGAGTATAACCTCATATTATGTGTTATACACTATAATTGTAGGTCGAGACGAGGACATTGTACCATTACCACCGGGAACCGATCACTGTGAGTAGTAGTACTTTGATGTACCTTTAACCATTTATCGTTATTGATGTTAAATCTTCGTCGTAAGAATTATGTTGACATAAATGTTATGAATGCTATATGAGAAACACTGTGATATTATGGAAACTTCAAAAGAGTTTATGAAGTTATGTATGTTATGTGAGAAACATTATGGAATTATGAAAACATCAAAGGAACTTGTGATTGTGTGAACCCCTCAGGCCAAGGGCCCAACTGTGAAATTGTGAAACCAATAAAGTCATCTATAATCTAATGAGAATGTACTTACTTTTCGTTACTAATTATCAGGAATGTCCTGTTAACTTTACGTTAATTATGTCAACTCATGGGAATGATGTAACAGTTACCATTAGGACTATGTTAATTACAAGGCAAGGCAACTATGTTAACATATAAGAATAATTAAACAAAGGTGTATGCTATTGATAAGAGAGCACGTAAAGTAAGTCATTTACCCAAAAGAATTTATGTTCATTCTTGAAGAATGGATTCTGAGTAAATATAAGAGTAACATATAGTCCTCAAAATAACTTAATTACGTGGTCAAATAAAAATCCGATTTTGCATCATTAAATTAGATCTTAGAACCTACCAAATAAGGTTCTGCCTAAGAGGCACAATATGTTCCATTTCACCAGTCCCCAATACAATGATAAGCTCAAAATCATATTTCATTTCCGAAAACATATCAAAATCATATCGTTATGTGGAGTCAAAACCACATTTACTAATTGTTGACAAGATCGGAACGGTGGGAAGAAGAATCCCCATTATAAACACCTGATCATGCCGTCATAAGTTCAAATCTGGATAATAAAT